TAATGAAAGTTGGACCAAAAGACCTGACAAAGCCTGATATATCTCTTAATTCATCAGTTAGAAGCAGATACTACATGGATCTGGCCTGTCTCCAACACATCAGCCCTTAAAATGAAATCATCTTGACAAGCATCAGCTTTTCTACAGATTTTAAAACTTTTAGATGGCACATAATATTCAAATATCAAATTTGGAAGTCCAAGAGGGATTGGCTGCTCAAAGACCCACTGCTGTAGAGATGCTGAATGGGCAAATGAGCGCCAAAGTTTTTCTAGGGATGACATTCTCGAAGTGGTTTTAATCATTATCACTGAGAAACAATAAAAAAAACACACACACAAAAAAACCACCAACCTTTCCCATTATGAGCACTATGGATAGGCTATATGGTGACAAAGAAAGTATGTAAGCATGTAATAGGCAGTAAGTTAAATCTTGTCTGGAATGAGTTGTCTCCAGAACTGGAAGCAGGAGAGCTGCACGAGCATGGCTCTGAGCCCAGACTAATTAGTCCTGCTGAGAACATGTTAACATGGCTATTTTGCTTCCGGGACTCAAGCTCATACAGCTGAATGGTAAAGCATTATGCTATGCAGACAACTCAAATGGTTTTGGAGATAGATCAATTATCTACACAGTGATGCATTACACGATATAGAAATACAAAGAATGTTAATGACCCAGCTATCCCTAGTCACAGTAGAGGCATGGCTAGACTATTTCCAGGACAAGAAAAACACCTAACTTTTACACACAAGCAGCCCCATGGCAGAGCCCAACAGAGACCCTGGACTCAGAGTCACGGCAGAATAGTTCCCTCCTGCCATTCTGGGAATACAAATTGCCTTAAAGCTTCAGACAGGAGGCAAGGTCATACCCTTGAACTCTGCTCATGTTCATGGCTTTGGAAATAAATTACCCAAAGGTGGAATGCAGGGTGTGTCTTGGGCTCTTGACTCAGGAGCTCTTAAAATGATTACATTCCAGTGTGTTTAGAAAGTACAGTTTAACCAAGAGAGCTGTGTCTAATTGCTATGTTCTTGTCCCCAGGTACAGCATGGTATATATGAGAGTGGAATAGTATACCAAAGAGAAAAGACAAAGCTCACTTGTTCAGGCTAGAACAAAGGCCACTTCTGGATACTGAACACTTTGGGAAATGTGGGAAAGCATCAAGGGCTAGGCTAAAGTCTGATTTCTTGGCAGCTGAGGTCTCAGAAATAAGACTGCACACCATAACTTTTGCAGTACATCACCAAAACCATTAAAGAGAAGCTTGTAACACAGCAAATGCAAACTGCTGTAATAATAAACAGGATTTTCATACTGCAGCAGAGAGACTATTGCTTTTGGCTAATTTCCACTCTGTTCCAATAGAATAAGGTTTTAACTATGAAAAGATGTGTTTCTATATAGAAAACAAACAAACAAACAAAAACCCCAACAACATTCCTCCCTCTCCAAAACCTTTCTGGACTCCTGCAAGGTAGGATTTTCATTTCTCTCTTTATTTGAGTGAGAAAAAAAGGAGGGAAATCTAGGTCTTTTCTAGGGCTATATCTGTGCATTTGTGAGGTTGTCCTTAAGCAGAACTACAATTCTGTTATCATTTACTGGTAGATATGTATACAGAAATGTAGTTGACCTGTTAGTTGTCTGCAAAGGGCACAGTGTATGGATGCTGCAATTTATTTTGTCTTTAAACCTGGCTCAGTTCATAATGACTCTGTCATGTCTTTAGCTGATGCAAACTGGTTTAGCAGTGTGGGCTTCAAGATAATGTAGCTGTAAAAGCTTATGCCTATGTTCCTGGAAATAGAAATACTTGGGTCCATGCTCTTAAAATGTTACGGTTTGTATGATCATGTAATATACATATGTCTGTGTATATATGTGTTTTAAAAAACAAACATTGCTGACTAACCTTTAATAGGTTTTTTAATTTTTACTATGACCTTGCTTGAAATGAAAGCAAATAACACAACAGATTACACTTTATGTAAGTAGGAACATGCGATAAGTAGTATCAGGTATTACGGATAGGCCAATGATATTTTTTCTGCCTCCCTCAAACCGAAAATAGGAAATGCCATTTGCCATGATAAATGACACAACTGGTTCTGAAAGTGACTGTTGAAAGCACTTCCTCCCAATTCATACTGATATCCCCTAGTGATACACAGAATGCAGATGACGTAAATCTGAACTAGTGCTATTTAGTGTTACAGTGGCTGTGTTATTACAACCCATGCTTCAAGACAGTAAGTATGGTCTTATAACAGGACATGTGGCAGCTGTTTGACTCAGGGCAAAGAGCTGCCAGCAAGAGTATTGTAATCTTTTGGGCCTGAAAGTAGCTGGGAAAAGAGAATGCTTTCCAGAGAAGGTTTTCCCTAAGGCAGAGAATTAGTGAGAGACCCTATTGTTGAGCCATTGAAAATTAGCCAAGGAATAGGCTGCATTGACTAACCTCCATATTAAAAACAAAGCCTATTCTAATTTCAGCATGTGTCTCTGGCATTAATGCACAGGAGCCCTAGGGCACAGTGAGGTAGACAGCAACTGAGTTATAGTAGAAAAATCTGGGTTTAGACCAAGCAAATGATTTCACAAGTTTGCTGGGCTCCTCCCACCAGTTATTCTCTGCTTGCTAGGGAAA